ACATTTTCTCATTCAGTATAAAAAGGATATTTCGGTGCAAATTTGGTATCGCCATATTGCACATTCTCTTTGTCCTCTGATATGTCCACTTCTCCAAAATGACATTCCCTGAAATAAATACCAAGTTAGTAAGGGCCTGTAAGAAGATCGAGGCAACAGGCCTCCACATTTTGCTCGAACATTGCCTCCACAGCAAATATCACCTGTAATAGGGGCTGGGAAGTTTTGGATAGAGTTCGCTGAGAATGGAGCTCGGCATTCGTACGCGCTTTTTTGCAAACAAAAGCACTTCGGCTTGCGGACTCAGATCCTCGCCATCACTCGTATTGTCCAGCGTTTGACCGCTTTCATTCGTTACCGTAACCTAAAAATGACTTCTGGTCAGATTCGAAAAGTCGAATTTAAAAACTCTCGGTACCAAATCTTTATCATTCTTTTTTGCTTTTTCTTTTTAAAGTGACATTCGCCATCAATAGTCGTTTGTGGCTTGCGGTCCTACTGTGCATTTATTTCGTTTATTGCGAATAAGTGTGCTAAGAAGTCTTTTATAACAGTGAAGAACTCGACTTTTGGACGATTTTGGGCGGATACACCATTTCGTTGATGGAGATTTTTTTTTTTGCAAGAAATACAGTCTGGGAGAGAATCGAACCACTCATTTTCACTACTTCTGGGTTCTCCTGAATCGTGAGGTGTTACCCATCACAAAATCAGCGCCATAGCTGAATAAGTAACTGGAGCATTTATATCTGTATGCCACTCACCCACGCATGTCACTTCAAAATGTCTAGCACAAAGTTCTTCAACTCTAACTAGTTTTCACAGGCATACGTGACTCAAACACCTGTATCGAAGCTGTAAAAGATGGTTTCAGTAATCTATACCTTTCCTAAATCACCAGTTTTATAGCTCTCATACTTTCTTCATTTTCGAACATCTTAAAAAAATCTTGATTTTTCAATTAAGCAATTGATTTATGCAGCTATACGAGGTATCCCACGTGTAAAACAGGCACGTGCACTTCACACGATCACGCAAACTAGTCTGAAAAACCGTACTAAGTCATTTTTTTTCGTTTTAGAACTGCCTCCACAGTTTTGACAAGACCCGTTTTCTCGTTGATTTGGTCAGTGTTAGTGGCTTCCCACAACTGTTTTACCTGAATAGTAGATCCATCGAAGATAGGCTTCGGAATGGACTGGGTTGGCGTAGCGCCGTTTGCAGCGCCTGGGCTATCCATCTTCTTCTGGCCGTTAATACTGCGTTCCACGATATTCGACAGG